ATGAGCCCAAAAAATCCCAAAAATCCACCCAAAATACCCCAAAAATCCTTACTCTAAAACATCCCAGTGAATCCCACTGAAATTAATGAAAAATGCACCCAAAATGCCCCAAAATCCTCCCTGGATGTTCCTGATTCCGCTCCGGGAAAAACTTGGGAATGAGCTCAAAATCCCCAAAAATCCACCCAAAATACCCCAGAAATTCCTACTCTAAAACATCCCAGTGAATCCCACTGAAATAAAAAAATAATTAAAAAAAAACCTGAAAAATGCACCCAAAATGCCCCAAAATCCTCCCTGGATGTTCCTGATCCTGCTCCGGGAAAAACTCGGGAATGAGCCCAAAATACCCCAAAAAATCAACCAAAAATCCCCAAAAATCCACCCAAAATACCCCAAAAATCCACCCAAAATCCCCAAAAATTCCACCCCAGATCCCCCACAAAAATACCCCTGAATTGCCCCAAAATTCCCTCAAATTCAGCCCCAAATCCCCCCAAAATCCCCCCCAAATTCTTCCCGATGAGAATTCCCTGAAAATCCTCCCAAATTCCCCAATTCCTGGGGGGGTCCTGAAAGGTCCAAAAAATATTTTGGGATATTTTAAGGGATCCCAAATTAATTTTTAGGATATTTTAGGGGCATCCCAAGAATATTTTGGGGTATTTGGGAACATTTGGGAATATTTGAGGGGATCCTAGGGATATTTTGGGATATTTTAAGGGGTCCCAAATTAATTTTTAAGATATTTTAGGGGCATCCCAAGAATATTTTGGGGTATTTGGGAATATCTGGGAAAATTTGGGAATATTTGAGGGGGTCCCAGGGATATTTTTGGGGGGATTTTGGGGGATTTCTCACTCGACTTCGTGGGTGATTTTGTTGACGTAAATGCAGCTGTTGTCGGCCTCCTGCTGGTAATCGCAGTTCCTGCACTGGGACAAACTGGTTTGGACTGGGAGGGACTGGGGAAGGCACTGGGATTAACTGGGAAGGCACTGGAATGGACTGGGATGGACTGGGATGGACTGGGATGGACTGGGAGGGACTGGGATGGACTGGGAGGGACTGGAGGGACTGGGAAGGGATTTGGAGGGGCTGGAATGAATTGGGACAAACTGGGATGGACTGGGATAATCGTAGTTTGTGGACTGGGACGGACTGGGATTAACTGGGAGGGACTGGGATTAACTGGGAAGGACTGGGAAGGGATTTGAAGGGGCTGGAATGAATTGGGACAAACTGGGATGGACTGGGACAGACTGGGGTAATCACAGTTTGTGGACTGGGATGGACTGGGATTAAGTGGGAGGGACTGGGATGGACTGGGACCAACTGGGATGGACTGGGAAGGACTGGGGTAATTGCAGTTCGTGCACTGGGATGCTCTGGGATTAACTGGGAGGGGATTTGGAGGGGCTGGAATGGACTGGGAAGGACTGGGATAATCACAGTTTGTGGACTGGGATTAACTGGGATTAACTGGGATGGACTGGGAGGGGATTTGGAGGGGCTGAAATGAAATGGGACCAACTGGAATGGACTGGGGCAATCACAGTTCATGCACTGGGACCGACTGGGATTAACTGGGAGGGACTGGGACAAATTGGGATTAACTGGGATGTACTGGGAGAGGATTTGGAGGGACTGGGACTGGTCCCAGTTCCAAACTGGTCCCAGTAAAGGGGCTGGGAGAGGGTCACTCACAGCGTAGAGCAGGATCCGGTTCTCCTTGTCCTCCTTGGGGTACAGCATGTTGTTACTGGGAGAACTGGGAGTTACTGGGAGCCTCCGGGAACGGCGCAAATTCCAACATTCCCAAGAATTTCCCCGCTTTTTCCCGGTATTTTCCGTGTGATTCCCGGGATTTCCTGGGTGTTCTCCCGGTACTTTCGGGTATTCCCGGTATTTTCTCCTCAACATTCCCAATATTTTTTCCCCCACCATTCCCGGTGTTTTCCCCCCGAATTCCCGGTGTTTTCCCGCTGTTTTCCCGGTTTTTTTCCCGGTGTTTTCCCGGTGTTTTCCCGGTGTTCTCCCTCACCATTCCCGCTGCTTTTCCCCCCGAATTCCCGCTGTTTTCCCGGTTTTTTCCCGGTGTTTTCCCGTTTTTTCCCTCACCATTCCTGACAGAACCGGATCCCCACAAAGCCCGGCTCGTACGCGCCGTCGCCCTCCATGTCCGCGAGGCCACGCCCCTTCCGTCTCCTCCCTCATTTCATTGGTCAACCCACCCGTCAATCTCCCGTCTCCCATTTTCATTGGTCAACCCTCGCTTTTGCTCTTCTTACCCGCCCATTTCTTGCTCCGCCTCCTCTTTATCCCTATTGGTGGATTCTCCCTCTGACACGCCCCCTTTCTCTTTTTATTGGCTGATTCTCTCTTCTCCCCTTCCTCTCTTCTCTTTCTATTGGTCCGCTCTCATTTGCCCCGCCCCTTCCTCCTCCTATTGGTCAGATCTCTCTTTGCCCCGCCTCCTTTTTCTCGCTATTGGTTGGCCGGTATCACGTGCTCCCTTCCGAGCGCGCTGATTGGCCGCGCCCTCTCCGGTCCCGGCTGTGGCGGCCCGTGAAGGTTCCAGAAGCGGCCGCGGTTCGGGAGGACACGGAATCGTTGGGGTCGTTTCTCAGTTCGGGGAGCCCTCAGGCTCCCGAAGGGCCTCAGGGCCTCCTGGAGGGGTTCGGGGGAGTCCCGGGAGTCCCGGTCGGGTGGGTCC